GTTGATTAATCGCTGAAAATCCAGTCCTTTTAAAGCAAGCAAAAACTGAAGGACAATGATGAGAACTGCAGTAAATAACACAGCGCACATCGTGTTGCATAGTCAGTCTTGAGTAGATCTCTCATATCATTACTTATGACATATGGCTTAATATCAGTGCAATTTAACCTCAGGAAACGTTAGGCTAAAAAAGCCCATGTTGATGCCATATATTTACCAGCATTGTACTGCTGCTGTATTTTGGCCATTTTTCACACACTAAAAGGTTAGCTGCAGAAATAATCGTTGCCCTTCCGGTTTCCAAGCCAAAATAGAACATCTTCGAAAAAGCGAAGTTGGCAAAAGACGGCTGCTTCAAGCGCAGATTTGGGTCGCGACGTAGTATTAATTGCAGACCGAATTTACGGAAGCAGATTTTCGCAGGAGAGGCAGCCACCCCGGCTTTGCCACCGGTGGTGTGACGATGTCTAAATCATAATGTACACGCTTAGACGATCATACGAATAAAGGCCTCGCATTGCGTGCAGCTCCGCCAACATGTGAGACCGACTTTATGACCCAATGTGATGGGCGGTGCAGCCAATCGTTGTCTAAAATTAAACGAGAAAAAGTACACAGTGTGCGTGATTCATCGTCGCCGTGTTTGGCAGATGGTTAGTACAAGGATATCAGTGAATGGCGGACAAGACATCGTGTATGACACAGCGATCGGCTACAGTCCGACGAAAGCAATTTGCAACCTGACAACGGTCTAAGGGTCAGCTTAGCCGGACAGCATCAAGTGACCTATGCTAGTGACCTGATTGCTCGCCGAAGCGCGCGAGATTAAGATCGGCCAATTTGCCTTTCATGCGAATGGAAACAACACATATTGCCACCCGATGGTGTGAAAAGGCGTCGTGAGGCGCAATTCAGCAAAGGCAAATTTGACAGATGAAATTTTCGTTGCACCATTTTCGTCTCGGCGAATACGTAGTCCAGCAGTCTGACAGGCGATGCTCCAGCGACGAGCGTGCAGATGGAAAAAGTGAAGCAACGCATGAGAGACGGGACAAGGGTCGAGGGACGAGAGATGGTCGATGAGGGATGATATGGTCGATTCCATTGCGCGTTTTCTTTGAGCATCCGCTTACGCTGAACAGCAGCCAAGGTTGGCGACAGACGTAGTTTATCGACTCACGATTTTGTATCTATTTTTGAGCATGAAACACGCGCGACATGCTTCAGCTTATGAATGCTGGTCTAAACAAACGAAGCTGATCATCTATACGAATTGGCGGACGCACGAATTGCTGATCGAACTACAGCATGGGTACTTGTCGATAAAATGCGATGTCAGCGACGTCACAGCAAGGTGTGACCGTAAGCATGAGGGCGAGGGCGGAAGGGAGCACTGTGCGACCCTTAACCGTTTTATAAAGGAGCAATTTCGGCCCACGTAAGAAGACACATGGACAGTTGCGCTAGTTCTTGCGCGCGTCGGCGCTCGCACGGGTTTGTTTTCTTGACAATGGTCGCCGCGGCAAAATGGCATTCTAATGGCACCAGTGCTCGGTGCTCAGTCAGCTTGACAAATAGAATAAGGCGTAAACGGCACATGCGGGAATGACGGCAGGACGCTGTAGAACGAGGACTTCAACTACCCTATTCATGGCTATACAGGCAGATGCTGAAAAGAAACAATACACCGTAATGATTGGCACTATTCAGCACACAATGGACGCAACTACCGCCATTATACGGAATTGCAAACGCTAAAGAGAAAATTTGTGTAAAGGCTTGGAAACAGCATTCAGCGGAAAATAAAGTGCAATTGTTATCGCAAAACATATTTTGCCTTCACGACACTGTTCGTCAGTGTGTAGTCGTCGAAAGGGTGAGGAACAGCTGCGCGAGTCTCTGCGAGTGCAGCGGCGATGGCAGTGGTGAAAGTGGCGTTTAATGTGGGTACCGAGCGGGTAGGGACAACCCGACGCATCGCGCTTCTAGCTTGTCGCTTCTTTCCGCCTGTGAACATTGGCCTCAGCCACTGTCGGCTATGAGAAGACATGATTGTGACCGTAGCCGTTATGACTGGTAAGAAAATGTGCTCTTAGTTGTTACCGAATACGTTTGGTGTTCAAACGTTGCTACTTCGAAGACACAAATGAATTACGATCTTTTCAAAACTTGATTCTGTTGCTCATGCGTACTCGTGTTGCAAAGAAGTCGTTCCACAAAGTGTTATACGCTTCGCCTATGCCTTCACGTTAAATATTTTCAATGCTGGCTGGGCAAATTGACTAAGAAAGTGGCCGCACGTTCTCGTTTCAGCTAGCAGAGAGCAAATGTAATTAGGAAGAGGTGCTGACACTTAGTTGATAGATCACGCTTGACGAGAGAATTCCTGCTGGCCGTCAATTTTTCAATTACGTACCGATTTGACCTAGCAGAACTAATCGCCGTGGATTTTCGTAAGCAGCTACGTGTAACAAGCGTTTACCTAGGCGACAGAGGTGTTTATGAAACTGGACGTTTCGCGACCGGGGTCAGACGACAGTCACCAACAATTTTAGAGTTCGACGCATCGTTCGCATTGACCGTGGTCGACGGATTATTCGCCATCGATAAACAACAAAAGCACTACCAAACCCATGGAAGCATGGAAGCTGCTCCTTCGCCAACATACCGATTAAATATCTCTTACTTACGCGCCCGTTCTCTGACTCTGCACTC